AAGCTAATTTATAGCTAAAAACTAACCTTAAATTTTAGCCTATTACAGGCAAAAACTTTTTTATATATTTGGTCAAGTTTTTTTTAGCGAATCATAGTTTTACCTTTGTCTTTTTTTGACAATTTTTTAGACATTTTTAACAAACCTTTAATGGTTGGTGGGTTTATTATAAACACAGTTTCTCAGCTTTTATTGCTAACATGGCCAGTTTTCAGTCATCTTAATTTAACTCACAGGTTTCTAAATAGCTTTTCTGTGTCCATTTTTTGAGCTTAGCTTCAAAAGGAACCAAAACTGTCTGAATATGTACATGGCAGCGTTTCCATTACCGTTCACTCTGATGGGTGTTTTCTCTCTGCATCACAGTGTCCTTCTCTGTGAGTCCATTATTCAGTTCCTCTGTTTTGGTCTTGAGGGAAATAAGTCCATTCAATAGTGAAACGCTCCACAGTCTCCGTTCACTTTTCACTGACAACCTCCGATTCTCCAACACTGTTCAACGTCTTACAATGAACGATGAAAGATGACAATTTACTGCGACCTCTAAATTAATCACATTTTTTTTTAATGGAGAAAAATGAAGTTAGTGTAGACGTCAGACTAACGGCAAAATCAGCACGTTGTGCAACAAAGCCATTCATCACACTCCCACTGACCAGACTCATCTCCTGCAGGTTAAAGTAAGATTGATTTGTTGTTGTTCCGGGGGGTTGGGGGGGGGGAGGGGGACCACTGCAGAACCGTGTGGGTTCATTCTGGCAGTCGCAATGGATGGATCAACTGCAAAAGTAGAGATCTAGTGTACACTGAAAAAACTGAATTTCAGTAAAACAAAAAAAAACATTGTAGCAAGAAAAGATTGGAAAAATAATCTCAAGCGTGCGTGGCATTAGAAAGACAACCTCATATTAATGAAGTCCATCCGATTTTTCTAAATTATTCTACTTAATTTTGAATTAATTTTGAAATAACTTGTGGCTGTGGCTAGAAAGTTTAAGCATCTTGTTTTCCTTATAAAACTCAGTTGAGCAAAAATCTTAGTGAATAGCTCTTTTGTGGACAACACTAAATAATTAAACTTATATATATATTATATATAATATAATATATATATATATATATATAATATATATTTATATAATATATATAATATATTTCCAAAAAGGCTAATCATGCCATATAATGTAGGTGTTTATCCAGGAATCCTGACTAAAAATATCACTTCATTTATCCTTATTTGTCGGTTTCTAGCCTTGAATCAACAACGGTTTGTTATTTCGGCCCATGGATATCAAGACATTCAAAATAATCCAGACGACAGCCGGAGCACGTATGCAATAAAACTCGTGTCAGAAAGAACTTTTTTTCCACACTTTTTGCAGAGTTAGCGTCAGCATTTTTCGGCGAAGAAACTTTTTCAAGCCGTCCTGCAGACGGTCAGTTTTTAGACTTCTACAGAAATGGCTCATTTTTAATCAGCGCTGAGCTAAAGATTTCTGTCCTGCCCAGAGCAGAGACCACATTCCCTAAACTTTAATATTTAAAAACCTGGGAACGAGACTCTACCCTCATCCATTTTTCAGACCTTCTCATCTAATAGTCTGCTACTATTTAAATCACCGTGTGCCCAAAATTCACATTCATTCACAGCGGTGAGATGACATACTGTTTTCAGATGCATAGAATCTGTAAGGGATAAATATGTTTTCAACACCTTTTTCTCTCAGTGATCTTCACTCTTGTTTGGTTTAAGGCTTTAATTTCATGCCTGGAAAGCAGCACAGCCTCTTTTTTCTTCTACACTGACCACGACGGGATTTTTAGTTTTTTTTTTTATTTATTTATTTATTTATTTATTGGGGGGGACTTTGCTTTGAATCTTTGCCAATGAAAAGTCAGTTTTTAAGGCTGGTCTCCTGCTGACACTTCAGTTCCAGTGTTCAGACCTAATCAAAGCCCAGTTCAGACATGTCTTTTAAACCAGTGTTTCCCAAACTTTTTTTCTGGGGACCCATATTTTAAAAGTCACGAACCTTCGCGACCCAAGTCAATAGACATTATTCATAAACTCCTGGGAAACATGATGCGAGACGACCCAAAAAAAAAAAGTCTTGCGACCCACCTGAGGCTCGCGACCCAGTCTTTGGGTAACAATGTTTTAAAGGGTTCTTCGGGGTCAAACCCACAACTAGGTTTGCTCTTAGTGACTCAGTGGTAACAAAAGAAAATAATGCCTGGCCCCTCTTCAGGTTCTTTGCCCCCAGTAACGATACCGGTATCGTTATTGATACTAAAATAAAAAAAGTATGCATACTCAGTTGAAATCAGAGCAGGGGACCCTAGGGGTCAGTGGGGGTACTGCAAGGGTTTTTATAAAATGACATAAATGTCATAACTAAATATATGCCTATATATACATACTGTATATGTATGTATGTATGCATGTATGTGTGTATATATACGTATATACCGTATATATATATCAGTCTTAAAACGTTACAGGCTCCTGCTTCAGACCATCTCACACTGTTAAAGTTTGTACAATTGCAAACCAAACGAGTTTTTTAACCTCCCATTTGAACTTTCCCCTTGAAGTTGTAATGGATTTTTGGCTCTCGGGTAAAAAGTCACTGCTGCTCAGTCCATGCTAAATGTCCAAATTTTGCAGGTCTGTATAATCATGACCTGAGTGTCCTGCTCTGCTGGGTTGTAATGATTGATTCTCCACGTTCTGACACGCCATGTTCCAATTAAAATTTTACCCTGGGGAGGTGTAAATGTTTTTTTTTCCCTGGGAGTCAGAGTGTTATTGAGTGGTTTTTGTTAGAAGTTCAGCGTGTGGCACTTCAACACTCATACTAACCAAGGTGTTGTCATCATTTGCTGCTGCTGCTTTCCTATAAAGTGGATAAAATAGATACAAAAACTGCAACTTTTTTTTTTTAAGTTTCACAAATAAGTTGATGTTTCATAATCGGCAAAAAAATGGAAATGTGTCTCAGAACAACCTGTTCTGGTTTCGCTCTCTTTCTTATGTGGAACTGTTGACGATTCTAATAATCCCACTCCTGGATTCTTCATTAGTTTTACTGTATTTCTATACAAATGTCCAATAGCTATCGTCGTGCACAAAGCAAAAGCAAAAGCTAAGGTTATCTTAAGCAATAGCAGCTGTATTATGTACATGTACATACTTTGGTTAAAAATATATATTTAAAAAATATAGGTCTTACAATGGGAAAAGTCTCAGTGTGAGGCCTCGCAATACACACTGGCTGCCATGGGAGGCGCCATTGGGTATTATGTAACATTAGTCTACATAATAACAATAAGGTAGAAACAATCATAACTACGCTCGAGTGTGAACAGTTGAACCGCAGCTGTGTGTTCAGCAGCCATTTTGCTGTCACTGCTCGTCAGGGCGGAGCCTGCGGTGACTCATGACCATTTAAAGGTAAAGGCAGAAAAACCAGCCGTTTAAACAGCTGTGTTCAATCCTTGTTCTTTTCCCACCAAGTCATGTTAATAACATTTCATTAAGTCATCTGTGAACCATGTTAATTTGCTTCATGCAGCGTGACAAGTTCCTTTTAAGGCCTTGTAAACGTAGGATTCTTTTTTTTTTTGCAGTTTTGTAAATGAACAAAATGTTCTCAGTCGGAGCCGGTGGCAAACGGCGGTCGACGTTGGTAGAACTGAGAGATAATTTGAGGAGAAAGCCTGTCTGAAGGAGTTCACAGCGATGTTTTGATGCACCTCCACTGCTTCCATTAGAATTAAACGGTGCAAAAATGCCATGAATATGTTCAGTGCAGTGGCACAAGACAAACAGGAGAGCAAACATCAAACCTGCGACATATGCATTTCCTGCTTGGTGATCAGATTACAGCACAGAGCGGCGTTTGCATACATTTGCATATTAGTGATGAAAAATGGCAGCTCCGGATGTAATTAAACTGCCTGTTGTTTGTGAATTTAAAAAATCATCAGCGGGCCCCCGTGGGCTTCAGTTCCCCTGTAAGGCTTGCAGATATTAATTAAGGGTAAGGGAACGTTAATAAATCTTCCTGCTGTAAACAGCGTGAAGCTGCAGGGACGGATGAGGACACGTCACACAGACACCATGATCCTTTTTATTTCTGTCTTCACTGTCTACCTGCGGTTGGTGTGGATGAGTCTACGGACACGTCAGAAGGTGGTGGACAGAAAATGAGGAGCACCAAGTACAGCTGTCATCGCTGATTGTTTCCATCGTATCTGTTGAATGATTTCTAAATCAATTGTTTCAGTTTGGTGTTGGAACTAAATTGTATATGTATACATACATATATACATATATGTATGTATATATATATACAGTATATAGATATATGTATACATATATGTATATATGTCTATACATAGACATACATACAAATATATATTTATATATACAGTATATACAGTATACAGTATATATATGTATAAACAATGATTTCAAATCTTTAGCATAATACTAGTACTATATATTTTTTATATATATTTTTTCTTGGTTACTGCATTTATTATGATCTTACACACGTCTCTTCACGTTGTAGTAGTACAACCTGACAACACATACTGTATTTATTTTTCTGGTATTCACACTGAGAGATAGGTGGACGCCAGCTGACAGAAAAATGCCAGTGTTGTCTCATGCAGAGTTTCTGCAACTGGAGTCAGACACAGACGTTAGATCTCCGGGTCTCCTGCTAAGTGGTTTTCTGATGCAACCTTTGTAACTTAGCAGGAACGAGTCAGTTTTGTTGTTGTCAAGGTGAGAGAGTGATGTAAGACGCGCAGCAGTCGAGTTCACAGCAGCAGCAGCAGCCGTAGTTCTGTAATGTGGCTTGATGCTCCTTTTCTGCTCTTAACACATTTATTTATTTAGTATTTTTGATCAGTAACACACTGTAAATATATACATATATTGTTTGAAGTATTGCAAATTCCATTAACATTTAACATTTTTTCCACTACAGAAACTGGTTCACCTATCACTTCGACTTGTATCGGTTTGGGAAACTCACTCACGCCCCCTGCAGGCCAAGCTGGACGACCCGTTCCTGGTTACAATGGTAAGGTCTCTCTGTTGTGGCTGTACGTCCCTTCACCCCAGTCTTTTAATGTTTATAAAAGTCCCTGTGTGAGCGTTTCCACTTGAAGACATGCTGATAAGGGGAACAGAGAAGGAAATAAAACTTTGTCGCTGCTTGTAAAATTCCCCGCAGAGAATTTAATCATGTTGTTTAATAATGTTGCTGCTCCAGTTTGCCTTAGGCCTGAGCACAACATCTGAATATCAAACATCTCTCTCACTTCTCCCTCTCTTCTCACAGTCACCGTGATCGATGATGTCAAGCAAAGCGTTCAGCCGAGGACTCTGGGAAACATTGTGGTCAAGTAAGGAAGCAGTGACCTTTGACATTACATGCAATCACTTTATCTGCTCATAGGAAATAACATGTAAAAGAAAAAACATTCAGTCACATTTGTTGGCTCACTAGAAGTGTATAGTGGTGTTTATTTCTGAAGCAACACAGCCATCGACCTGAATATTTATTTTTCTAAAATTCTTTAACAAATGATCAGGACATGTGATGATGATAAATAATTACTAATAAATATAAAAATAAATCAATTAAAACATAGTTTATTATTTGAAAGCCAAATTTTTGAAAGACCAGTTAACATTATAAAAAGAGAGTTTAAAACAAGTCTCAAAACTGTTGTGAAAATAACCGCTTCAGATGAGGTCTGTTGTTGTGGAGGTGGAGGTGTTTGATAATGTTTAACCAAATCACACCAGAACAGATACAGTTACAGTTCAAATCTTCTACCTTTAACATGTTTCTGCTTCCTTTATCTTTCCTTGTGCATTTTATGACACTTTAGATCCGATACCATGAGTGGAGGTTGAGAATTCCAAGGACTTAGAAAGGTCAAGTGTAACCAAGGTTACCAAGAAGTTAAACTATAAAAATCTGTTATTTCAACCTGCTTCAATCTTTGTTTCTAGCTTTAATAAGTCATTTTCAAATAGAAAATGATTTATTATAAATATTAAAATTGTAAAAGAGAACATCAACAGTTAACTTTGCTCTTAGTGATGTCGTAAAAAAAAATCAACATGTTTAACAGGAGAAATCTGGCGAACATTTTAAAACGCCAATCATTTCATATAGGAGCGATAAAATTAGAAGGAAATGGCGACATCTGCTGGTGAAGGTCAAGCATTGCTGTGCGTCCCTGGTAAAAAAAAATGGTAAAAGAAAACATTTTAAATGTGTACTTTTTCTCTTCAGGCTGCCGTTACCACCAGGTGCCGCTCTGTCGCTGTGGCAGAACGAAGATCTGTTCAGAAAAACCTACTTCAGTAAATTCCCGGTAAGTTCATAACCATATGCTAAAAATATTTTTTATATTTCTTAAAGCTTTTTTTTTCTTTTTTACAATTAGACTTTGGTCATGTTTTAACACTGATTTTGCCTAAATATATAAATATTATAACTTAGTATTGTTGTTTTAGTTCTTGAAATTTTCATAAAAATGCCTAGATTTATTAAGTTATATTTTAGTTATAGTTCTTAAACTTTATATTAATTAAGGTATTCTGTTTACTGAATTTCGTTTTGTAAATTTAAGATGAGATATTTATATTTATAGCATTTCAGATTAGGTTATTGTCCAGCTATTGTATTAAACTATAGCCTGTTGTTTATTTACATTTTGTATTATTATTATATAATATTATATAATATTTTAAATCTGACCTTTTTAAATTGAAAACTGTCTTTAACAAAAATGTCTTTAATAATGTGACATTAGGCAGAAAAGCAGATGATACATGTGTGGTAAAATGCTGCCTCCCTGTGTTATGATATAGTTTTGCAGCTTTTGTGGGTTTTTTTTTTTTTTTTTTACTTTGGACAATACTAAATGTAATAGATTAGGGGTTTTCAAATTGGGTGGATGCGAGCCTCCCCTTCTTCCCCCAGAATCCTGTCCCCCTGCCCTAACCCACTACCACCTCTGCAGTAAATGTGTCTCCTTTGTGCTCCTGGCAACAACCACTGATGGAGTGGATTTGAAATCCTTTTATTTTCACAACATAAAGGCATTCATAAAAGATTATTTACAAATAATTTCACTTCATGCAGGCCTGCCCTGTGAGGTGAGGCGTGCCCAGAATGGAGGCGCGCCTCACCTGTTGAAAACCACTGTAGTAGATCTAATCTAATGAAATTTTAAAAAGTACACAATAACATGAATACTGCTGTGTCCACCAGGGTTACTACGACACCATGGACGCAGGTTTCATGGACCTGGACGGTTTCCTGTACATCATGTCCAGGTCTGATGATGTCATCAACGTGGCAGGTCACAGGTTGTCGGCTGGAGCTCTGGAGGAGGTACAGTAGGAGAACCAATGCTGTGCAGGGATTTTTTTTTCCTTTTCTGTTCCTTTGTAAGTGTGTGTGTTTGTCGTGTAGTGTGTGTTGCAGCACCCTGCGGTGGGAGACTGTGCTGTGGTCGGTCTAGAAGATTCTCTCAAGGGTCATGTTCCTTTGGCTTTGTGTGTCCTGAAAAACGGTGAGAATTTGGTCAGAAATTGAAGTCTTCAATATTTGTCCAAAAAAAATTTAAATAAGGAAATATATATTAGTAGTATAAAGTAGTTGGTCTAAAGGTTATAGCCTATAAAGAAAGAAAGAAATCCCTAAAACAATTAGGAAGAAATTGGATGTTAAAGTTAGCAAAAAGCTAATGACAACCTGATCAATGTAGAAGTGATGTAATAAAACAGATTATTTTGGCATTATTTATAAAAAGATAGCAATTATTGTTCATGTAAAATATATATATAACTTATTTTGTTAACAAAACTAAATCTTTTATCAGTTAATGGTAAAAAAAATATTGATTATAATTTGTTTATTATTTTACCATATGATGAAAAAACTTGAAAAAAGTGAACAAAAATATACTATTATAAACAAAACTTGCTGAATAGTTTGGCACTAACTGTACTGGGGGGAAAGTTTTAATTAATTAATTGCAATTCATTTTATTAATGTTAACATAACATGAAAAAAATGAGTTACAACTTTATCAATTAATTAAAAAATGCAAAAATATATTTTGGCATAAAAGTTTATAATATAAATTAAAGGTTCAATTTTAGCTTTAAAGTTTATTATAATTAAATCAAAAATTTAAATATTACATGAAAACAAAACAGAAGAGTTTGGCACTAAATTGGAAAAATTATTCTGTAAATAAATGGTTCAGAACTTCCAAGGCTTCCTTTGAGTTTTTATTTTTCCTCAGGTGTGTCTAAAAACCAGCAGGACGTGATCAAGGAGACGGTGAATCTGGTGAGAGAAAACATTGGACCAGTCGCTGCCTTCAGGAATATGCTGTTTGTCCGAGCGTTGCCCAAGACACGCTCCGGGAAAATCCCTCGCTCCTCTTTAGCCAACCTGGTGAACAGGAAACCCTACAAGGTAAAACTGGACACTTTTCCCATCAGCCCTCGGTAAATGTGGACTTTTGTTTGTTAGCTACTAGCTGTGAGTGACAATCTGTTAGCACATGCTAGTACCTACTAAGATTCTACTGTGTTTGTTATCGTAACATTTAGACTAAAGAGAGATTAGACCAGAACATTTGGTTTTGTCCTGTTTCTTTTTAATTTATTTAAATGTAAAACCTAAAACACCTGTTATGTTCTGACTGTTGTATAGAGCAGGATAAACTCACCTGCTCCATACAACAGATGCACCCTGAAGATGTCACCTTGTGCATAACGTTCCCAACAAGAAATCTAATTGGGGTGTTGGGCTCAAATTACTTTCTCCTTTGTTAACTTCCTAGTTGTGTACAAAACTCTTCAATAATTTTGTTGTCCATCTGTTGTCTTGGAAAATATTTCTTCCAAATATTTCTTGAATTACGTACCTACTAATTAGAATGTTTTCCATGACTCTGTCTCCTGCTTCCTGGTCGAAGATCACCCCGACCATTGAGGACCCTGACGTGTTTGAAGACATTGAGAAGGAGGTCCAGAATGTCCTGAGACCTCCTGGGCTCTGACTTGGAACCAGATGAGAACCATGGTGGTCAGAAGACAAGGAGAACGTCATAACCTCAACAACTGTAGAAGAGTTCCAGCAACAGCTGCCAATACGTAGAGCTCAGAGACTTTAATAAAAAATATTACAAAGCACACTTATTACTTTTTAGGTATTTGAAAGTCAACGCAATGGTGTGTATTTTAGGTATGAAAATTAGGGATGTTATAAAATGTCAAAAATTTTATATGTAATTGTTGGTCAAAAACTACAAACTGTTGATGAAAGTTTTGGTAAAATTATTTTTAAAAATGTTATCTTTTGCTTACATGTTTCTCATAAAATAAGGTCTTTTAGAGAACATTTTTATCTTTTTTTTAAAATAAAACTTTCTGTCAAAATGTGAACTTTTCCTGTCGTATTTGGTCAAGACCTAAAAGAAAATTGACAAAAAGTTTGATAAAATTATTTTTCCAAATTGTATCTTCTCCTGCATTTTCTCATCAAATTAGGGCGTTTAGAGAACATTTTAAGAAATGTTTTTTGAAAAATAGAAAAAAAAAATGATTTAGAAAAAGAATTTTCGGAATAAAATTTTTTTTCTAATTTTAAGAAAAACATCTTGGGAAATTTTTTTTACAAAAAATGAACCTATTTGAAAAATCCTTAGACAAAATGTAGGAAATTAAGAAAAACATTTTGGAATTGTTTTTAGAAAAACGTTTATAGAATTTTTATTTTTAATTATTTTGAAAAAAGTTTACTTTGAAAAAACATTTTTCTTTAAATTTTTTTTAAATCTTTCAGAAAATAAAAATAAAAAAAGGTTTTGGGAAAATAAAAAAAAAATTCCCACCGGAAGGTTTAGGGGAGTTAGTACGATGCAGTGCAAAATAAAAAATTTGGAGGTCACTTGCAGGTTGCTTGGATGTCACCTGCACGTCACTTGGAGGTCACTTTGAGGTC